TTAATTTCGGCAAGACACTCTGCTCAGATATCACGCGGATTATCTCTCTGGTGCTCTCTACAGTCGAAAGCAACACAATAGAGCAGCAACTTATTTTCAATTAGAAGTGAACAGCCCGTTTTTACGTCACCGATAAATCACCGCTTAATTAGCAATAACGCCCTGAATTTTATTTCTCTGCCGGCGCGCGTGAAAATTTTGACTGCTGCGTAATAAAAAGAGGTGCTCTCTGCTTTTAATAAAAAATTATGCGTCTGCAGCAATAACGGCGCTGTTTGTACTCTGCTTTTGCCGTTTCATAAAACAAGGCGGCAGCTTCCCTTCCCTGCTGCTTACACGAGCTTCTTAATCGCTTTATTAAATCTGGAATGTAGGTCGTAAAGGTGCCGTGTTCATTAATATCATTTCAGCCGTGTTTTAACAACACGGCGAGCAACACAACACTCCTCCTCAGCTTGCGCGCTCGCGCTTTATTTCCTTAATAATTTGCCCAACTTTACACTTTTCATGCATGCAGCTCGCAAAACATTCCACAATCATTCTTGCGTGAGAAATCATCTCAAGCTGTAGTCTGTTGTTTTAAACTTAAAAATTTTTATTTTAAAAAAATATTTCGCAATTTTTCATGTTTGCTTGAAAAATGCAGATTTTAAAATCACATTAATTTTCAGTAAATTTTGGAGCTAAAAAAATTTAAGGCAAATTGAAAATTAAAGGGAATTTTTGTTATTTCATTACAGTTATCCCCCTCACCAAAAAGAATATGAAATATGAATAATTTAATTTAATTATTAAGGATATGAAATATTTAATACATAAATTTTTTTTTTAACAATTAGAAAATAACGTGGCCTCTCTTGGAGGAACAAAACTTAACATTGTTTCCAGTGTCACGTTTTAATCAATATTAATCAACTCATGATTGTTGAAGAGTAGAAAAAATAAATAAAATAAAAAATAAAATTCTAAATCCTCAAACATATTCAGTAAAATCTTGGATTTATTTTCTTGCTGTTTTTATTTTCAAATTTTATCAAAATGAATTTTATTCTTCATTCATTATTTCTTCATAATATCGCTACTTTGTAAAAGAATCGTCAAAGCGGTCATTGCAGTAAGCTGAATGGAATTTCAGTGTGGTCGTCCGTGCCAATTGTAGTAGTTTCTGCCACCGCACACACTCCCCTTCTAGGTAATTCAATTAAAGTCTCGTTTGCGGTAACTTATGGCAGGTGATTCGATTTTAAGTGCTGCTGCGGTCCTATCTGCAGCTGATGTCTTTGGCCGGTCGGTCTCATCAGGGAGTGGTCAAGCGTGTGCCCCGGCGCCTCTTCTCGCTCCGAGATAAGCCGCAAAACAAAGGGTCTTCTTTCTTTCTCCCGCAGCGTCCGCAATTAACCTGATTAACACGCCCATGCACCTAGCTGGGCCGCGATCGCGCGATTGAGAATTATTTCCTCCGATCGGCAGCGAAAAAGACTGGATAGGTTGATAATTGAAAATTATTATTAAGACGTCTGCACTCGTGCGATTGGACGCGGAGATATAGTTGATGAACGAAACGAAACAGCTGCAGCTATTTCCAATTTGCTTAAAAGCGATGTGAGGAGGAGAAGAAAATATCTACCTTCCTGAGGCTGACAATGATAATCGCTGATTGTCTATTAATCATTCTGCGTTCTTCAATTCAGTCACTCGCAAGATTCCCAATTATGTTTCATGTAATAAGCGGGAAGTAAAATTCTTCAGTATAGTTGATATTTTGAAATTATTTTATTATAATTTTTTAACAAATTGAATTCAGTCAATATATGATTCTTTAAAATGCAACGACAAAAAAAAGCATGGCAGCCATCATTAAAATTGGCATTATTGTTTTTTGGTTAAATTGTTTTTCTGCTCTTCAACATGAAACAGAGTCGTAATGATTTATCCAATGTTCAACCTATGACTCGTGAAAAGCTTTTCAGAGAGTATACGTTAATTTAATAAATGTTAAAATAATTTCAGGAGTTGTGGCCACACAGAAATTAAATAAAGTGGTGCAGTAATTAAAAAAAAGCAAATTTTAGATATTTTGGTCTTGCCCTGCTGATTTTTGCACTTAGCGATTGACAAGACTGCTATGGCGGAGGCGGCTTCAGGCAGCGAGATGACAACAACTTTTGCGTTTCAATTATCTGCAGAGCGTTGCTTTAAAGATGCCGGCTAGGGGTTAATTATTGGCTTTCGCGTCAAAAGTCAGCCCGGCTGCTTCTTCATAAAGGGGCCGCCTTGCGTTTGCTTTATTAACAAGTATATGCGTGCGTGAGAAATCTGTGCGGAACAAAGGCTTTGAAGCGAGAGCAGAAATATGCGCTCCGTTTGATACCAAACAAAAGCAAAACAAGCAAACTAGCTATAAATTAATAAATAAAGGCAGCCAGCGGTGCTCACTGCCTGCTTCTTTGGTAATTGTTCCAATTATGCCTAAAACAGTTTAGCAGAGCGGCGGATCGGCTCCGGAACGCGCACTCGAGGGCGGGCGCCTGCTTTTGACATTTCCACAAAATTGATCAATAGCTGCAGATCCAAGTTCGCCTTTGAGTGTATTCACAAAAGTACTCGCTTCCTTTGAAGGAATCTGATTTCCCGGTGAATCGGCCCACACGGCAATTCCTTTGAGCACAAGATAAAAATGTGTGCATTCTTCGACACAAAAGCGATATCGCGTTTTAAAAACGCAACAATGTGCTCACAGTGTTATTTTAAAGAGAGAATGCTCGCAGAAATAAAATCCAATTATGAAATTTCCCAGAGCATTAAATTGAGGTCTGATTCCATTAATTCATAAAATATTTAAACTCCGTTTCAAAAATTCCGCTGTTGATAATTATAATTCCACTATTGGACAAAATACTCCGATTACACTTATTTCAGAAAATGCATCCATGAGTTTATTTAATTTATAAAACCCACTCAGTGACTTCTTAAAAAACGCATTCCGCTAAAGATTTTCCAGTGAGCCATAGAAGTTAAAGGAATGGGCATATCTTAAATATTCTTAGTGTGTGACCTATATATTTTTTTTTTAATTAGATTAAATTACCCAGCATTGCAAAGCAGCAAGAAATTACTTCTTAATTATTTCCAGTTTGCTGGAGACTCACAACAAGCCACTAGAAACAGGAAAAGCCTCGGAAAACTTGAGCATTTGAAAATTTGCGGCTTTCGCAATCGACGCGAGGCAGCGAGCTGGTGAGAGAGTTGGAAAAAGAGAATCATCCTCTTCAAAACGTGCTTGCAGGCTGGATGAGTGAGCGGATGAAACAACGTGCTAATCCCAGATCTGGTGCAGCGGCAGCTTTATACGAGCCGGGGCTCAATGTCGCGTCGGGCGACACTCTAATTGTTGTGGCCGGATTAACTGGCTTTTTTCGCGCGCAAATCTCCGCCCTTGCAGACATGCAAAAACGCACTCTCCGTTAAAAGGTATATCGTGAGCCGGGCTGCTGCTATTTCGGGGCTTTGTTTAGGCCGTACCTGTTGCTGCGAGTTCGTTAGCCTAACAATCGGAGGCGCATAAATCACCAACGGCTGGCGCGCGAGCGAGCAAGAGAGTTGTTGGCGGCCAACTTTTAATGAAGGCGGCCTTGTTTAATTGAAATCCCACCGCATATTTGACGAATCCAATTAACGCCACCCCCGCCGCTTCTTTGCCATTCACTCATTAATTAACCGAGTCGGCTCGGCATTATCTCGAATGATCCCGTTATGCCGGAATCAGCCTGCCTGCCATCTCCAATGACATTAGTCGGCGGTGAGTGGGTATGCAACCGGCACCGCAGCCGAGTCCGACGGTTGGGGGGGGGGGGGGGGGGGTTTTCGCGCTTCAGATTGCCAGCTTGATTCGATGTCGGTGACCAGCTGCTCAAATACGACTAAGCCCATTATGTCAATGAATTGAACCCTTTTGAAATTGTGCATGGAATTAGTGCATGGATTCAGTACATAACATAATTAAAGGGCTTTGGAAATCAATCGTCAATCTGTAATTATTATTGATGGCAAAATTACAAATCCCTTAATTCACAGTTTAGTTTTCAGGTAGAGAGTTTATAATGACTAGGGAGAGAATTAATAGCGCTCGAAGCCAGACAATCACGCTAATGAATTTTGAGTTTAGATTTTTTGTATGCAAGTTTTTTTCATCTTCAAACCTGCTTTGTAAACTATAAATTTAAAAAAAAAAAATTGCTTTTAGCCATCCTCCCTTTAGTTTCTATGCAAGCTATTGAATTAAATTTCCATTGTTGAAAAACAACCAATATATGAAAAGGAACAAGGGATCTTTTTAAAAATTCATAGCGCCGAGACTGCCGAGAAGAATTAAAATTTCATACTCAATTACATTAATTATTTAGTAAATGTGAGGATAACCATAAGTGTCTGCTCATAACTTTAATTTAATTTTTAAGTACTTTATTATATCGGTAAAAAAATTTCATTATAAATGACAACGGCTCGACAGACCTAAAACAGTATAAGCATGAAAACAAAACAATGGATATTGCGAACTAAATACTTATAGTTCATCAATTCCAATTAACCTCACAAGGTCAGTGATGGTATTGATATATAATATTTACAAGGGCATAGTTCTAAACATCCAAAACATTAACTAACACGGCAGTTCAATTTAAAATCATACACCCTTTCTTAAGTAAATATTTGTTTTTAATTTACACCAAATATTACCAAAAACTGATATAACTAAAATTCTTTCAATTTTTCTTCTTTAATAATCTGATTTGCCGTGCAGTTGAATTGCGCATCTATTACCCCTGTCACATTATCGTCGACTGCGTTCACGGTTATGTCATCAAAGCCCCGTTCGGCGTTGGGCGAGCGATAAAATTTTTGTACCTCGACGGCAATTTAGCGCCTCGCCCTTTCATGAGCGAGCACTTACAGCCGCCGCGATATTGCGAGAAAATGGATTGAAACGTGTATCTACTCACCGACGTGGTTGCCAGGCAGGGCGAACAGCAGCAGGAAGCAGATAATCAGGGTGCGCGTCATGAGGCTGCAGGTCATCAAGGGCTCGGCAGCATCACCCACCACCTGCAACACAGCAGCCCTCGTCGGAATTAGACACGAGAAATAAATTCTCTCTCGGCGCCGCCGTCGTTGGGCAATGTAAACAAGGAGGGAAAGAGTTAGTTTTCAGCACCGCCGGCAGCGGCCCACTAATTCTTCGTGGTGCTCGTTAGAGGAATAAATCTACCATGAGGGAGAATAACTGTCTCCTTAAAGGAATTAAAATTTATTCCGCAGTCCCACGCTGTAACCGCATAGTTGTTTTTGATGTTGTGCCGCCCGGACCCTCGTATAACTCAAACCGCCTCCGCCGCCCCCCGGTTGCGTTCGCAATCCGTCAAGTAGCAGACGACGAGCTGCTCTTGGAATTCACCGCCCTCGTTACGTATTTCTCAACGGCACTTTATTGAGATTGCTGAGAAAAATTGAATGCCATTAATTAACGGTGTGCTTTTCGTAAATATTTTCTATTTAAAAAAAAGATATTTTTCAACAAACGCAAAACTCTTCACTGATTTGAACAAATTTAAGATATTCTTTAATAGAAATATTATTCATCAAAATAATGCGATTATTAAATAATAAACTATGTCATAGAGAAGCAGCAAAAGCAAGTTCATTGTAAGTTATTAAAGTCCTTACAATTGGGGTTTTGTGGTAATAAAATATAAAAATTTAAATTTAAACCAGGTTTTATAGTTTTATGCGTTTTACGTCTTTATATAATTATGTTTAATTTTTTTCAGCAAAAAAATTAAGATGGGGAATTTTAATAATCGAAATTCAGTAAGTATGATGTTGTGCTAATGAAGATTGTAGCTTTTTTTTAATTCATTATAGTTGTTATTATGATAAAAAATGAACCAAACTTTGAAAACCCGCTTGATTTGGATTGATCACAATTTTATATAGGGTTGACACTTATTCCTCACATGTTCGTGTTTCGTAAGTATAGCTAACGGCCCTATACATTTGTCCAAATATTCCTGGATGAAAGGCCGAGCGACGCTATTGTGTGACTAATCACCTCGCCGTCACGAGACCCCACTTGCTCTTCAGACCAATTGACTGACAAGGAGCAGAAAGCCTCGACTTCCTTCTTTCGCCGGTCGCTGACAAATCCGCCGATTTACTTTGAGGCTCATTGAGCCATTTCATCTGGAATGCATTCCCATTGAGGCCGCGCTTTTATTGTGCGCCAACAGCAGTTTCTTTTTGTTCTGCCGCATTTCAGAAAAGCTGCTGCCAAGGGAAGGACGCAGTGCGAGCAAAAAGAGCGGCAAGAGGGAGACGTGCCACCTAAATCATCACGCGCGGTTAAGTAATTACAAGGCACAATGGCACTGTTTGCCTCGTTGTTTTTGCCACGAATTTAAGCGTCCGGAGTTAAGGATGCTGCGTTTAATTTTATTTGGGACCACACGTCGCTACAAGCGCCGTTTTATTTACGACCCCTTCGCAATTAGTTACGTATATTAAACACGCATTTTCGTTAAAATTTTAACTGAAATGGTCCAATTTTCAAAATTTTATAAATTGAAAATAATCTAAATTTAGTTAATATATAATTTCAGTTTTGTTTTTTAAATTGATTTTTATTCATTCGATCATAAGTAAGATATGTGCTATATGTTTTTCAATGGAGAATAAATAGATCATAAATCATTTAATTTTTTAATTTCTTTGTTCAATTCACAAATATTGTGTAAGTAAGCAAAGAGGAGAAACTATTTGCAGTGGGCGGAGTAGACAGATTCTGCTTCATGTTTGAAAAAGCTCCGGCATTAAAAGAACAAAATCCTCAAGGGAAAACATCGAGTATGATGTTTCTGATTAAACACGGTCGCTACATTTTCATTAAAAGCTTGATAGATGAGTCCCACACTGCTAATGCTGAAAACAAAGCGCGTGTACCACAAAGCGAAAGATAGGAAAATGTTCATATTTAACATTCGATTTTTGCCTCCTTGAGCGCAATGCCGCTGTTTTATTTGGTACGAGAGCTGCGGACGTAAAAAGTGAAATATATAATGTATATAACTCACGTGGTTATTTCCATCATATCTCATATATAATTCACAAGCGGCGCAACAGATAAAATTGCCGCTAATAATTCATGAGAAAGCGCCGCAGGCAATTTTTGCTGTTTCGAGATGTAGATGGGCAATCAAAATAAACAGGATATATATTGCTTGTTTTTGTGTGTTGTGCACATGATTTATTTTAAAACGATAAAATACACTGCAGCGGCTAAGTCTCGTACGTCTCGAGTGGTTCATTTTATGTTTCCTGTACTTATTATATATAATTGTATCAAAACTTACAGGAACAACCTAAATCATAACTCTCATTCAATCTTATCATACCTTAAGTCCAATTTCATGAATTAAATGATATCTAAGTAAGGTGATCATATTGTAAATGGTAAATAATTATTATATTTAAAATAATATTAAAACGGGATGAAGTTCAAGTGTGGCAAAGATGCATTTGATTATGACCCGAATAATATTTCCTTTGCAACTAAAACAGGTTTTATAAAATTTGATACTGAAACACAAAATTATGGAGATTTTTAAATGAGAAAATAATAACTTTATATTTAAACAAAGGGGAGAAGCTATAATTTTATTTAAAAACTTCTTGTTTATGATAGAAAAGATTGTTATGAAAATCATTGGAAGATTCTTCTGAACTGAAAGTTGACTAGAAAAAATATTGGATTCAAAAGGAAAAACCCACCCTCTTTGCCGCACCTGATGACGAAACTTTTGCAAATCTCCCTTTATTCCATTCCGACCAAATGTGATTCTTTGCTCGAAAAGTCACAGTTTTCGCCAAACTTTGAGAGCAGAGCCTTTCAAACTCGTCTTTCGCTGTGTGTGCCGGCAAATGTCATCGAAAAGGCGAACGGCGGGAGGCGAATCTGCGTGCGCGTGTGGGCCGCTGACGAGCAAATAAATTTCACTTCTCGGGGCGAACTTGCCAAGCAGAGACGACACGGCGCCTGGAGATTATAATTTATTGGGCTCGCAGTGCATTTCGACTCGTCGCAGTTCCCTTTAGCACACGCATGAATCTTATTTAATTCTGAACAAAACACATACAACAAAGCTAATCCTGGTGGTGCGGGCTCTGATTCGACGCGCCACATTAAACGGAACAATTCCCAGCAGCATCTCTCGCATTGCTCCACTTAATTAGGACGCTCTCATTATTATTCAGCACGCCGGTCTGTGACGGCGGATAATTATTTCTGCCGAAAAGCTCTGCCGCCATCAAAGGCCAAAGTCGGAGCGATTTTTAAATGAATCCGCCACGACGAGAAGAAGAAGCGGGCAAAATCATTTTGCGCTGATGGCGAAGGATTTTCTTTTTAATTGCGCCCGCCTTTCATCTAACTCACGTCTTGGCGGGCACAAAAGTTTCTTAACAGATTGAGTACCTGCGAAATTTTTGCTCGGCGACCAGCGCGCACCGGCAGCTCATTTGCACATTAATCAAATCGCTCGCGCCGCGGCTCTTCAAAAGACGGACTTTTTTCGCATGCTTTGTTCGTCTTAATTCCTCTCCGGCGCCGGATATACTTGGAAAAAGGGCCGGACAAGATTTTTCCGCTACAAAAACTTTTTTCATGATACGTTCACCTCGGCCGAGCTGATTTTTGGGGGGAAATGTGTCAGAAAAAAATATATACGTTCCTTCTAAGGTGATGAGGATTCGCGCGTTCAGGCCCATCATTCAAGATAACACGCATCCCGGGGATTCTTCCACTTGCGAGATTAATTTTTCACAGACAGACATACACACAAGAATGGCAACACATACAAGTGAGTGTGTTACTCGGGAAAAGTAACGGGCGGTGGTCGTTTAAATTATTCACGAGTTCAATTTTAAAGGCTATCACACGCACTCTGTTTATTCATGCGACGGAAAATGGGATCTGGAGAATGGAATACGTTATTGTTTCCATTTCGTATGGCGGCTGTCTTGGTTATTTTCAAGCGACATCATCTCACATTCACCAAAAACCTTTCAGCAAATTTGCTCTCAAATGGATTAGAATTTTACTTTTCTCACTTTTAACTGCAGAAGTGAAATATTATTGCTTTGTCTACTCATAAAAGCTGATAAGCTGAAAACAAGAGACCAGAACAACCAGGAAATCTTGAGTTCTGGCTTTTATATCTTTAATTTTATTAAATGATATTTAATAAGGGCAGTTCTTTGGTTTTTAGAAATTTGATTTAATCAATAAGGAAAATTTATCTTCTTAAAAGCTCACCTCAGTGGTGCAACTTTAAGAATGCTATTCTTGCCACCATTTTTAACTGCTAATTGATCTTTACCTTGTAATTTTTTAATATTTATAATTCGAGATCTCCATTGATACATAAAATGGATATCGTTTGATATAATTACCAACCAAACCTCGAAGTATATTAATTAAGTCTTTTTAATTTAATTTTGCTTGGAGAAGTTGTTAATTTGTTGGACGATTTCCAGATAACAACTAACAATAACGTGCCATAGACTAACAAAATTATTACCAGCTGAGTGCAACGTAAATTGTAGCACACGATGAGTTTTCACTGATCCTTTTTCACTGCTGCCATGCGGTTATTGAATAAACGCTTGATGGGCCAAAAACTTTGGTAATATTCCCGGCGCGCCCGACTTTCTCGAAATTTACTGTCCGTCAAAATGATTTTCTCCTCGGGGCAAATTCTTTTTGTTACTTTCGACACCATTAATGATGCAGTGTGTAACGAGCATACCGCAGCAGCGCCGAGTTCATAAATTCCTCGAGAGGCAATCAAGGGTGCGTATATAAAGCATGGGTCCGGCGACGTGCGCGCAATATTAAAAATCACTCGCCGGTGTTAAAGGGGTGCTGCGCAAATTTGCACGCAAAGAAAGCCGACGAGCTGCGAAAAATGTGTCTCTTTTTCTTTGATGTCGAAATTTATGACGCTGCGAGCGTTCAACTGAAACTGATGCCGCGCTCCAGCCTTGCTCAGAAA